AGTGACATATATTTCAGATAAATGCTAAAACTCTGAGCTTTTTTAACATATTGATAATACCATATAATAATAATATTCATAAAATATTTTTGAAGAGTAAATCAAAATATTGGAATCATCTCTGAAGGATCATGTGACTTGAGTAACAAAGCTAAAATGTCAGCTTTGAAATCACAGGAATAAATAAAAATGTAAAGATATCAAAAACAAAAACTGTTATTTGTAAAAATCTAGAAAAATGTTAATCAAAAATATAAAAAATTACAATAAAACAAAAGAATCATCCACACACTGCATGTGGAAATCATCAAACATTTATCCGCATCTACACAGGATCGATGTGCTCCTGTGTAAACATGCGCTCAGTCATTTTGAGAGAATGAATCAAAAGGCCATCTTGTTGATGTCAAGGCCAAGATTAACCCTCCTGAACAGGTGCTGGGGATGTGCTGTACAGTATTATAAGCTCTGGACATGTGTCCGCGTGTGTCACCTAACCACAGAGACAATAGGCAAAGAAGAATAGTAACAGTCTATAATCACTCTCCGACACTGCGAACTACACTTTGAGAATTAATGCCAAAGTTCTGTGATGTTGAAATGGATGATGATGGAGCATAGAGGGACATCAACAATCAATAGCTTGCATTTAGTTTATGTGATTTTATGCAGACCGTCCTAATGGCTTGGGCTGCTGCTGTACTGTACGCAAGGCTTTAGTGCAACCGTGGAATGCATTAGTCCTTTTAAGCCGTGTGCTTTATTCCCAGCTTGCAACTTTAGCAACATGAACTTCAATGCACATTCATTAACCAATGCTTATTATTATCATTGAGTTTCGGAATGATTAAAAGGGGACCCATTGTGGAAAAATAATTTCATAAGGAGTTTGTGTGGAAACAGTGTGTAAAATTAATCAGCTTCTAATGGTAAACATGTATTAATCATATGTTTAATAGTCACACTTGATAAAGACAGTCTGCAGAAACCCTTTGATTGACATTCTCCCTTTGTGCATGTGATCAGAGGGGGAAAGCCCCGCCCATTAGTGACCACCCTACCCTTTTTAGCATATGGGTTAATCTTTGCATTGCCTTGCCTTATTTATTTACTCACTCATTTTTATTTATTTTTACTCACTCTATTTGTTCATTTATTCCTTTATTTTTATTTATTATTTATTTATTCATTCTTTTATCCATTAATTTCTTTGTTAACTTTTGTTTGTTTGTATTTATTTATTTATCCATTTATTTATTTTTGCACATAAATTTTTTCTTTATTTTTATTTGTTTATTTATTAATTAATTTGTTTGTTTATTTTATCCATTTATCTATTTATTTACTCATTTATCTATCAATTTATTTTTCAATTTATGTATTTATTTACTTATTTGTTTGTTTTATTTGTTTTATACATTCATCAATTTATTTATTTATTCGTTATTTTTTATATTTATTTCTTTATTTACTTATTCATTTATTTGTTTATTTTTGTTTGTTTATTTATTAATTATATATTTATAAATGTTTTATTAATTAATTTGTTATTTATTTTATTTATTTGTTTACTCATTCATCCGTTTATTTATATGTTTGTTTTTATTTGTTCATATTTATTAATGTAATAATTTATTTACAAATTAATTTATTTGTTGTGCACTGTATATAGTTGTTGTTGTTGTTGTTGACTGAGCACAAGTTTAAAAGAAAAGCAAATATTGACAAATAGTGAATGTGCAAAAAAAAAAAAAAAAACGGCAGCAATTTACAAAGCTAACCAATATTTTTGGTGTGGGAAAGATTGCTGAGCCGTCGTGTTCTTCGGAGCACAGCGGAAGTGAAGGGCCTGAGGTCTCACCAGTCCTGCTGATGTGTGTGTATTTATAAATTCTTATAAATTTATAAATTTGAATCTGCCATTATGCTGACACACAGGCATTTGTAGCTCCGCCCTCTTTTGAAAAGAGTCTCGTTTAAATTTGAACCGCCAACTTATCCAGCATATGTTTTACACAGTGGATGCCCTTCCAGCTGCAACCCAGTACTGGCAAACACCTATACATACTCATTTACATTTACATTTACATTTAGTCATTTAGCAGACGCTTTTATCCAAAGCGACTTACAAATGAGGACAAGGAAGCAATTTACACAACTATAAGAGCAACAATGAATAAGTGCTATAGGCAAGTTTCAGGTCTGTAAAGTCTAAGAAGGAAAGTATTAGTGAATTTTTATTTATTTCTTTATTTTTTTTAAATACAGTTAGTGGTATATCCAGAGAGGCAATTGCAGATTAGGAAGTGAAGTGGAGACTAAATAGTTGAGTTTTTAGTCGTTTCTTGAAAACAGCGAGTGACTCTGCCGTTCTGATGCAGTTAGGGAGTTCATTCCACCAACTGGGCAGATTGAACGTGAGCGTTCGGGAACGTGATTTCTTCCCTCTTTGGGATGGAACTACAAATACATACTCATTCACACACATACACTACAGCCAATTTAGTTTATTCAATTCACCTACACCACATGTCTGGACTGCGGGGGAAACCAGACCACCCGGAGGAAACCCACGCCAACAGGGGAAAAACATGCAAACTCCACAAAGAAATGCCAAATGACCCAGCCGGGACTCAAACCAGTGTCCTTCTTGCTGTGAGGCGATGGTGCTAACCACTAAGCCATCGTGCCGCTTATCCCTGCTAAATTAAAGTATTAATGTTGATAATGTTGATAATTTCTTTGCTCGTTTTTTCTTTATTAATAACAATAATAAAAATAAAAATAAATAAATAAATAACAAAAAATAAATAATAAATTAATTAATTAATTAATTAATAAAAATAATAAATTTTTATTGAACAGCAAAAATAGAATATTAGATAGAATGATTTCCCAAGGATCATGTGGCTGAAGTGATTATGCTAAAGCATTTTTGTCCTCAAATCACAGGAAAAACTATATTCATACATATTCAAATAGAAACTGCTATTTTAAATTGTAAACAAATTTTGAAAGTTGTATATGTTTTGCTGTATTTCAGATTTTTCAAATGAATGCAGGCTTGGAGCAGGAGAGACTTCCTCAAAAAAGCTTTAAAAGTTTTACATTAAAAACCTTTGACTGTAGGTCGCATAGCTGCTGATCAGTGGCTGATTGTGTGAAATGGAAGCAAAGCGACACCGGAAGTCTCAGATAAGTTACAAATGGCAAGTAAATATATAGCTGATATATACGATAAGTAAAATTCAACTCTATAACAGGTTTGAATTATTAAGCAGAAGAACATAGGCTACTTTTTGTACAGGAAAAATAAATGGCGTGACTTAAATTTGAAGTCTTGCACATTTACATCATGTAAAATATCTGTGTTGAAAATTCAGTGGCTTCGCCAAATTGTAATCAAACATTTTAGTTTGCTAATTTTTCTAGTAAGTAAAGAAACAGGAATGATAAAGAGTTTAAGCCAATGTAGTCTAATTTTGTTTTGTGGTGTTTATTAGCAGAGTCAAAGCCCTGTGTCGTGAACTGACTCACTGAGGTTTCCACAAAGGTTATTATTATTAAAGCACACTGAACCAATTCTTAAAGCAGCATCTACACTTATAGTTTTGTGTTTAACACCTCAATCGAAAGCTCGGGTAAAGATGACTTATTCCTGAGGAAAAGGTTTTGAGATATTAATAAATATAATACAGTCACATACGTTTTAAGATATTTAGCCGAACAATGTAGATAACTGTCTAGGTAGATAACTGTCTAGGTAAAGGTAAAAAAAATGGCACAAACTAAACCAGAAGCCTTGCACATTTACTTTACATCAAATATTTGCTTTGAAAATTCAGCAACTTGTAGTCAGACTTTTGAGTTTGCAATATTTTTTAAAAGATAATGAAAATATTATAGATTTTTAAGGCAGTCTAATTTAGTTTTGAGGTATTAATTAGGGGAGTCAAACACCTGTCAAACACAGGTTTTCATAAGGGCTGCATACTCTGGTATTATTATTATTCAACACCTCAATGAAAATCTCAGATAAAGATATGAGCTTTTCCTGAGGAAAATGTTTTGACATATTAATAGATATAATTCAATATAGCAAGTTTTGAGATATTAAGCAGCACGAATAGTCTTCTGTTTGTGTACAGGTAAAGTAAATGGTGCACATGAAACCGGAAGTCTGGCACATTTACTTTATGTATAATTTCCGTGTGTCTTCTTACATTTAAATATTAAGTATATTTTCAACAAAAGGTAACAAAAATGTTATAGTTTTATGACAGCCTAATTTAGTTTTTAGGTGTGTTGTGAACTGACTCGCAAAGGTTTCCACAAGGGTAGCTCCTATTATTAATATTGGTCCCACTTTATTTTAAGTGGCCTTAACTAGGTACTTAAAATAATTAGTAAATAATTACAATGTACATGCCGTGTTCATAATGGATTGCAGAACACTTCTGGGACTCTTGAGGTGGGATACAGGTATCGTTAGGGACCTTTTTGGGGTACGGGTAAGTTTAAGTTTGGGTTAAGGAGTGAGGAATGGTCAATTACAAATGTAATTACATACAGGTATTAAATCAATCATAAGTACATTGTAAAACATGTATTTACGCAAAAAATACATTGTAACAGTTGATTAAATTTCAGTGTAAGTAACCTACATATTTCTTAAGGCTACTTTATATAAAGTGGTACCTTATTATTATTATTATTATTATTAAAGTACATTTCTGAACCAAACCCCAGCGCAGCATCTACAATCGTCAATCGAAAGATTAGATAAAGATGCGGCCATATCCTGAGGAAAAGGTTATTCACATTAATAGATATAATTCAATCGCATAACAAGTATTGAGCTATTAAGCAGCAGATCTAGGCAACTGCGTGTGTACAGGTAAAATAAATGGCGCGAATTAAACCGGAAGTCTTGCACATTTACGTTTACATAAAATATTCACGTTAAAATTAAGTTGGATTTTTTTTGTTGGAGAGCTTCAACTTGTAACCAAACTTTTTAGTTCGCATTATTTTTATTTAAAAGGTAACAAAATGTTATAGAGTAATAAGACAGCCTAATTTTGTTTTGAGGAGTGTTGTGAACTGACTCGCTGAGGTTTCCACAAGGGTCGCGCGCTCTGTTATTGTTATTATAAAAGCACATCTGTGAACCAAGCCCCAGCGCAGCGTCAACACTCATCGTTTTGTGTTAAACACCTCAATCGAAAGCTCGGGTAAAGATGAGACCTGGTCCTGAGGGAGAAAAGAAAACATAATCCGTTCAGCTAATTTTGGTGGCCATCCCTCCCTCTCCTCCGCGCGCCTGTCGTGCTCTCACTTTCATCAACAGCGCACTCCGGGCAGCACGTGCCGGTTACGCGCTCTCTCCGTACACTCCGCTCAGCGCCTTGGACTCCACAATATGTCACGGACTTTTGGGACAGTCTTGAAATGACCGAACTACAGGCACGACTTTGAATTCATCTCTAAAGGACCCGCTGCGCTCCTCCCCAAAGAGACGGAATGAGCGTCGCGCTCCGGAGGGGCAAAACTGGGCATGTCGTTTACTTCTAAACATTTCAGCCGTGTGCTTCGGCGGTTATTGTCAGGAAAACTTGAGTTATGGGACTTTTTGGGGTGTGTTTAAAAACTTTTGAGTAAATCATCGCGCACGTTAGTGTCTCACAATGAAGTGCTCATTGTCCAGTTACGATTTAAGATGAAATTGTGTTGTAATATGCGGAGTCAGGACTGTAGTGGATGTAGCGACCTTAAATTAACCGTAATAACACGTGCACGCGCTTTATGAGAAATACTTCACTTGCAGGTTGTCTTGTAAAGGGATTGAATGTTTGATTACTAATTGAGTTAATGTTGACTTTTAGTATTTTGCTAATTACATCAACCATGTTCAGAAAATCAGATAGAATCAGACAGATACTTCATTCAGTATTTACAGTTTTCATTACTTAATTAGTTATTGGTTGTTTAATATCGGTCTACCGATAAAATTCATATAGCATCCAGCAGCATTACCAGCATCAGGAAACACATCCACAGGTAAACCAGCTTTTAACTTTGTGTGTTATAGATATAGATTGTAGAACTAAAAATTTAGCTTATTATTAATGATCATAGTACAGATGAATGCATTAATATTTATCGCAGTTTATGAATATTTATTAAAGCATGATCATTATTATTTAACTAAATCTGTATTAGATTTCAAATCAGTTCAGTATATCAGACGCTTAATACAATTAATAGTTATCGGTCGAAACAAATATATGGTGCACTAGTTTGCGTGTGTAAACACAATAATGCTGGGTAGTCCTTCCAATAACGGAGGCATCAGGATGCTGGCCCCCCCATCAGCCAATGATGACAGACGGGTTGAGTTTGTGGCTCTGACTGCTGTTCACACTGAAAGAAGCGAGCCGTCCACTCCAGAGCGGGGACATCCATCCCATCGCACCGGCTTACTGGGCACCCCACTCCCGGTGCCCCCAGGCCCCAGAGCGACCCCTTCTGCCTCCAGCAAACGCTACAGAAAGTTGCAGAACTGCCTGTACAATGTGCTGGAGAGACCCAGAGGATGGGCTTTCATCTATCACGCCTTCATGTAAGTCACATCCAGTCAAAAAGTTGATTTTTGGCATATGCATCCACTTTTTTAGTTGTGTGTGTTCTTTGCTAAGCACAAAGCACGCTGATGAATGACCACAGAGAAAGTTTCAAGGCATACTTCAATTCAATTCAAGTTTACTTGTTCACTTTAAAACATGCTGGGTTCCACCACACTATTGATTTGTGTTGGGACGACATGAAGTTTTCAAGTTAGCTTATTAGCTTTTACAAATTTAAGTGGATTAAATGTGAAACTATTAAGTTGTTCCACCAAAATAACTCAAAATTTTGTTGTTTCAGCTCATTTTAAATAAGTTGAACAAACAGCAAATCTATTTTAAGTGTATAGCTTATAGTATATAACTTATAATCCTATAATCACTGCACTATGTAATATTTACACATTTAAAATTGAACATATTCAATGCACTAATTCATCCTGAATTGTACACATCCACTGCGCATATACATTTGTAATTATTTTCATATCTATCTGCATACTTCTGATTATTAATAGCAACTTGTACACATATTTATATATTTGAAATCTCTGTTCAAAGTTAATGCAACCTGTATATAATGTTGATAATACATCCATCTGTAAATATAATTCATAGTTTTTTTATAGTTTCACTTTATAACTTATATATCCTGCACTTGCTGCTATTGCACTCCTGATTAGACCTAAGCTGCATTTCGTTGCCTTGTACTTGATAATAACAATAAAGTTGAAACTAATCTAATCTGATCTAATAGCACTTTTCACTATAATTATCATTCCAGAGCAGCTTTTCATAAGGTGTATGCTATTACATACAGTCAAAATCACGGTGTACAGAATAGGGTGGACTGTATAGTTAATCAGCATTAATACAATATATAATATGTATATATATATATATATATATATATATATATATATATATATATATATATATATATATATATATATATATATATATATATAATAATAATTATTATTATTATTATTATTATGGGAAGAATAGCCACTACCTATGTAGTGGCTAATGGGGATTCTGATAAACAAAATAAAAAAATATGTAGTGTCTTTTTAAAAAAAGGTGATGTCTATATTGTGTATAGTACATTTTCAGTGAAGTGATCTGATCTTTACAATGATTTAAAACAATTTAGTTCTTAATTTAGGATAGTTCAAACAAAAATACTAATTATGTCATCATTTGCTCACCATGTATACTTGTTTCAGACCTCCCATCTCTTTGTTAAACACAAACACTCAATTGTTAAAAACCTGTAACCATTGACTTCCATAGTATTTGTTTTTCCTACTATGGCAGTGGTTTCCAGCTTTTTTTAGTGTTTAACAGAAGACAGAAATATATAAAGGTTTGGATTGTGGCTGCCCAATATATTGTTTTAATATTGCAGTGTGCAAATCGGCAATAGTCACATTTCTTGGGATTATAGTTGACTAGGAACCACAGTTCAGATTCAGAACACACGTGATTTAAGAAGTCATCACAATGTTTAACCCAAATAGAGTGAAAGATTTTCATTTGCACGTGTTTTTAAGGCTGTGTAAGATTTCAAGCAAATTGAAAGCAATACATTATAAAGTTTATTGTATTTATTTCTACAGTTGAAGTCAGATTTATTAGCCCCCCTGTTTATTTTTTCCTCCAATTTCTGTTTAACGGAGAGACTATTTTTTTCAACACATTTCTAAACATAATAGTTTTAATAACTCGTTTCTAATAACTGATTTATTTTATCTTTGTCTTGATGACAGTAAATAATATATTACTGGATATATTTTTAAAACACTTCTATACAGCTTAAAGTGACATTTAAAGACTTAACTGGATTAATTAGGTTAAGGTTAGGGTAATTAGGAAAGTTATTGTATAATGATGGTTTGTTCTGTAGATTATCGAAAAAATATATAGCTTAAAGGGTCTAATAATTTTGACCTTAAAATTATTTTTAAAAAATTTAAAACTGCACTTTTTCTACCTGAAATAAAACAAATAAGACTTTCTCCTAAAGAAAAAATATGATCAGACATACTGTGAAAATTTCCTTGCTCTGTTTAACATCATTTGGGAAATATTCAAAAAAGAAAAAAATCAAAGGGGGGCTAATAATTCTGACCTCAGCTGTATGATGATTACTACAGTGCTATTTTAGATTTGATTATTAAAGTTCTGTACATGAGTACTGTTAGAAAAGTATAAAGCACTGCTTATTTAATTTGTATCTTTGCTTGTAATTTGTAATTTGCTGTGAAATTATATTTATATTGTAATAAATATGACAGATTAATGAAATATCACAATTAGGGCTGCACAGTATATTGTAGTTTCAGCATCGATATTACTATAGTCTCGTTGCAGTATGTGCAATGTTTAGTTGGTATTAAATTTGAGCAGGAGTTAACCATAAATAAAAGTGTATTACTTGTTTAAGGACTGTAATGTGTGACAGTTTCCGAAAAGTCTCATTAAAATACAAGAGTTTGTAACTTTATTGAAGGTTAATTCTATAGAATTATTAATATCATGAAGACTATCCCTAAAAAAAACAAAGACGTTTAATTGGATTTACAAATTTTTCTTAAGGTAACTGGTTGCAAACAATTTAAATAGGCTGAATTTAAACAAACTAATTAAGTTGAACATTAATAAATTTCATTTGTTTGTTTAAATTTAGCCCATATGAGTTGTTGGCAGCCACTTAAAAAATCTTTGTACATCTAATGAATTATTTTGGCGATGCGGTGGCGCGGCAGGTAGTGCTGTCGCCTCACAGCAAGAAGGTTGCTGGTTCGAGCCTCGGCAGGGTCAGTTGGCGTTTCAGTGTGGAGTTTGCATGTTCTCGCTGCGTTCGCGTGGGTTTCCTCCGGGTGCTCTGGTTTCCCCCACAGTCCATAGACATGCAGTACAGGTGAATTGGGTAGGCTAAATTGTCTGTAGTGTATGAGTGTGAATGAGTGTGTATGGATGTTTCCCAGAGATGAGTTGCAGCTGGAAGGGCATCCGCTGCGTGAAACATGTCCTGGATAATTTGGCGGTTCATTCAGCTGTGGCCACCCTGGATTAATAAAGGGACTAAGCCGAAAAGAAAATGAATGAATGAGTCATTTTTAGTATAGTGTTATTTCACATTTGCTTTTTCAATTGCTGTATATTACATTTTTTAAAAATCATTTTATGGTCAAAATTATTAGCCCCCTTTAAGCAATACTTCTTTTCGATAGTCTACAGAACAAACCATTGTTATACAATAACTTGCCTAATTTCCTTAACCTGCTTAGTTAACCTAATTAATCTAGTTAAACCTTTTAAATGATACTTCAAGCTGAATACTTGTATCTAGAAGTCATCATGGGAAAGATAAAATAAATAAGTTATTAGAAATGAGTTATTAAAACTATTATGTTTAGAAATGTTGAAAAAAAATCTTCTCTCTGTTAAACAGAAATTGGGGAAAAAAAATAAACAGGGGGCTAATAATTGTGACTTCTACTGTATGTAATATTTCATTTTCTTTGCCCAGAGCAAATGTGTGACTACCGTCTGTGTGTGACATTATTACTAGCCAATTGAGTGAGCACAATTTTGTTCTGCCCAATCAGAATTGCACAACCGAACTATGCAAAACACCCACAGCAAAAAACAATAGAACATACAGGAATGGGCGGACAATTGGGATAATGCCGTCTGCTGCTTCAGAAGCATTAATAGACAAACACATCAGTAACAGGACATCAGTAATATGAGAATATCTTGGTTTCAAAGTCAGACCCCAAACAAAAACAGGCAGTTTTAAAGAGCTGTCCAGAATTGTTGCCATGGCTTACAGATTATTGACCTGAAGCTTGACTACAAAATTAAATCACAAATCAAATCACAATTGCCATATCTGTCAGAAAAATCGCAATTATAGTAGATATTTTTCCCAAATCGCACAGCCTTAACCCTAATTAACCTAGTCAAGCCTTTAAATGTCACCTTAAGCTGTTTTGAAAAATATCTAGCAAAATATTATGTACTGTCATCATGGCAAAGATTAAATAAATGAGGTATTAAAACTATTATGTTTAGAAATGTCTTGAAAAAAAAATCTTCTTTCTGTTTAATAGAAATTAGAGAAAAATATACAGGGGGGGCTAAAAATTCAGGAGGGATAATAATTCTGACTTCAACTGTACATTGCAAAAAAAATAAAATATTGTGCAGCCCTGGTTTGCACCTCCTAGAGGATGAATAAATAGTGAGAAATTAGTCATTTCAGGGTGAACTGTCTCTTTAATGACTGCCACGTAATTTGGCGGCCCACCTGCCACGCGCTCACCTGGAGCCACCGACAGTCTCTAATTCTGAACAAGCTGACTCCTGATATTTTCCTATTAGGTGACCCTTCCAATAGACCGTATCATTTCAACATCAGCCAAGATTGATTTTCATCTCTCACAATTGGATTAAATTCCCATGCTGCATTCTTTCAGCAAATCAAGTTTGCTTGAGCGGCAGAGCGCAGTTTGACATTTACAGATGCGTCATTATATGGCTTTGAACTGTTAGATGCTTTGGGATGCTCTATAAGACAGCACATTATTAAATGTTTTATTCATTGTGTTGCCAACTTAAGCAGCGAAGTATGCAGTACCAGATATAGAGCATCCTAACGTTGTCATTTGTTTATTCATAGTTGGTTATTAGCCCATTTCTCTTTGGATGAAAGTATAATAGAAGGAATAATACAACGTGTCATTGTTGCTGACAGGGCATGATTTACTGTAGACATCCATCAGAATGTCATGCTGTGTAACAATATCACTGTAAAAAGTATTACCTAGATCTAACTTATAAAAAGTGAGACAAGTGGCTACGTCGGACGTTTTAGATTGGGTCAACTTACAGGCTTTTTAAAGGTTTTTTAAACACTGTAACATTGCTTAAAAGAAATGCAACAAAATTAAGTTGATCCAACTAATATTTCTAAAATTACTCA